TTTCCTCTCACCTGGATCAGTGCCATCACCTGTATTGTCTCTACTCTGTGTACCTGTCTGGTGCTTAGCATATTGGAGCATGATGACAGATTGACTTGTTCTGTTCCCACGCAAGATTTCAGGTGCCCATAAGGCAGGTCCATGCTTGTCAGATTGATATCTACCACGTCTAGCTGGTTCTGGCACATACTAGATGGATGCCCAGTTATGAGAAGCATGTAACATGATGACTAAGAGTACAGACTCTGGGGCCAGACTCCAGACCCACTACTAACTGACTGGGTGACCTTGGGTACATTACTTGACCTCTCAGTGCTTCCGTTTCCTAATTTGTAAGACAGGGACGATGACAGTGCCTAGCTTAAGTGTTTATGTGAGAGTTAAAAGAGGAAACTAGTGGTACGTGATGTAGGAATTAAGAGTGTGGCCTCTGAAGCTGAGTCCTGCTCTGCTGCTTACTAGTAAGTCTGTGACCTTGAGCATGTACCTTATCCCTCTGTGCCTGCGTTTCCTCATCTATAAAATGGGGGTGGTGATAATAGTACCTATAGTGTAGGGTACTATTATTACCTGTAGTGTAGGGTACTGCCTTTGCTGTAAATATTGAGTTAACGAATGAAAAATGTTTACAGTAATGTGTGGCAGTAAATGTTCAATTAGTGCTTGAGTGAATAGATTGGAAAACACTATAGACTTGTTTATCAGGCATATCAGGAATTTGGACATACTTAGTTAGCCAGTTCTTGGGCAAACAGTCTCATTGATAACTCTAAATGGAGGTTACACTCAAATAGTTTTTAGTCCCCAAATAATTTTCAGGGACAATGACTATGTCTTTTACAACTCAACTCTGAGTGACTTATTGTTCCCTAATTACCAGATGTTTTTATTCAAAGACTAGAGGCCCGATGCATGAAATCCCTGCAAGAGTAGGCCTTCCTTCCCCCGGCTGCCAGCACCAGCTTCCCTCCGGCACCCAGTACCGGGCTTCCCTCGCAGCCCCAGCTTCGTCCAGTCAAATTAGCATATTATGCTTTTATTATAGATTATAGAAGCCTGTGGTTCAAGGGATTGGAAGTACTTACTTAGAACAAAAACAGGGATGATAATTTGAAGAAAGCAAAAGAAGGAAACTTCTGAACAATGAAAAGTGAGAAAATGTTGACTTTTAGCATATATGAATAGGGTGCAGATGCTATGTGGACTAGCATTTGCTTCATGTTCAAGGACAAAATCTCATTCGGTTTAGTCTTCACACAGTTCTTCAGCCTATACCTATAGTTTCAAGTTTCCATTGTGTCTTGTTATGTGTCCCCCCAAAAAAGCAGACTCTGGACAAGGATTCAGATGTGGAAGTTTATTTGAGAAGTGATCCCAGGAAGCACAAGAAAGATTATAGGGAAAGTGAAGCAGGAAAGGGTGCCAGTAAAAGGTACATTAATAAATAGATTTCTGCTAACATTTAATATATCAAAACTGAATTCTTAAAAAAAATCTGAACCAATTTTTCTATCAAATTTCATCTCAAGTACGGGCATCCTTCCAGTTGTTCTGGCAGAATTCTTGGAGACATCCTTAACTGCTCACCTTCTTACCCGCTACAGTCAATCCACTAGAACTCCTAATGACTGCCTTTATCTCCCCTGCTACCACCTTGGCCCAGGCACCATAGTGTCTCACATGGATCATTGCAGTGGACTCCTAGCTGGTCCAGGCAGCCATCATGTCTCACTTGCATCATTGCAGCAGCATTCTAGTTGCCCTTCCAGCTTCCACTCTTTCCCTACTTTCCATGGTCCATTCTCAACAATGTAGCCAGAGCGATCCTTTTAAACATAATTCCTTTTCTCAGAATCTTCCCATGGCTGCCCAATGAAAAGTGTAGTTCTTCCATGCGTCCACCCAGCCCTACACAGCCTCTTATCATGCTTCTCTGATGTCATCCTCCATGCCTCCCTCGGCTCTCACCTCCATCCCTGCTGTTATCCTGACGCTCCCCTCTGCTTGTAATGCTCTTCCTCAGTGACCATCCTCATGGCTCATCCTTACCACCTTCAGGCCTTCTCAAATGCCATTTTGTTGAATGAGTAAGTGGTAACAATTGCTGCTTTCTCATTTAATTCCACAGTAGCATTGTTGAGGCTCAGAGGTTGATTAGCCTAGAGCACTTTCTTTCACACTGTCTTGACTCTGGCCCCCAGGAAGGAGTATATTATACATCCCAACCCAGGACTTGCTCACATGTTTGGATGTGTATACATAGAAGCAAAACAGAAGTTCCACAAGACCGTAGTTAGCCTTACTACATTTGAGACATTCTGACATTTTTCACTTTGCTCTAGTTATTTTATTACTAGTTTTATACCACTAAATTGATTTTAAGAAACACCTTTGAAAAATACTTGTCGAAGCTTTTGATTCTTTTTTTTTTATATATATATATTTTATTGATTTCTTACAGAGAGGAAGGGAGAGGGATAGAGAGATAGAAACATCGATCAGCTGCCTCCTGCACATCTCCCACTGGGGATGTGTCCGCAACCCAGGTACATGCCCCTGACCGGAATCGAACCTGGGACCCTTCAGTCCGCAGGCCGACGCTCTATCCACTGAGCCAAACCGGCTTCGGCCAAGCTTTTGATTCTTAATCTGTTGTTTTTCCCTGTGGCAACATCTGAACCAGTTTTCTCAAAAATCATTAGCACTAAAAACTGTTCAGTACTCAGCTAAGTTGCTAAGTGTGGTATTATAAGCTTATCTCTTTCTATGCTGACCTCTGTAAAAGATGACGGGTTTATTTGCACATAAATAGATGTGTGATTATAAAGACAGTACAGGGGGGCTAAGGGAGAAATTAAGATGGCTAACAGAACAGGAAAGGAAGGGAAAATACCTTTATCAAGCAATCACAAATACAAGCACTAAAATTTACAACTGGTATGAAATGGTGGCAGTCAGAAATGAACTGAAAATCAGTCAAGTCCGATCGAGGTGAGTGATTGTGGACAGGCCACAGGCTTTGTCCCAGAAGCAAAGCCATGCCTCTGAGTTGGTTAAATTGAGTCAGCACCGGAACAGGGAGTCAGAATAATATTAAGGACATGGTATAGGATGCTTGGTCGCTCCAGATTGGAGACTTACCAGACTCTTCTTGTGGGCTCTTCTGAGGAGCCCAGATCTGGTTGACCTGCAAAGACTTGTCCTTTGAAGCCAGGGGAGAACCTGCACATGTGCTGGGTGTGGAGTTTGGTACATCCACAACTTGCCCTCTAGAGAATGATAGAACTGTCACAAGTAGTCTTAATTACTTTGAATCCATTTTAATATTAAAAAATATCATAAGTATTTTAACACGTTTTAACAGTCAGTCACCGGTGACTGACACTATACTTTCCGTCAGGAAGATAAAACGGTTGGACGCTTAATGTGTTAAAGAAAGATGGCATTATAAAATCAAACCAGAGAGATGAGGTGTTACAGTAACATTATCTCTTTATGAAATGGCTTTCTTAGTCCAGAACATGGGTGGGTTTCAAGTGAGCCCCCTCTTTTTTGATATTGAGTTAAATGCCTATTAATCCTGCGATTTCTGAAAATGAATTGCACATCATTTGTCTACTCCTTACTGTGTATGAGATGCTAGCTCACCTAATCTTTACAACAACCTTAAGGGAGGGCATGGTCCATGCTCCCATTTCAGATGAGGCACCTGATAATCAGGCTAATCGACAGCAAAAACCCCAGCTTCTTGGGCAGAGCCTGCACCCAACCACTAGGTTGTCTCACCTTTAGATTTGAGAAGAATGTCAGAGAAATCCCAATTCAATCTCTTAATTTTGAATTAGTAATAATTTAGTTTAGACTCAGGTCAAAGTTTCCTTTATGCTATTATTGACTATGTGATTTTGGTAAGAAAATAATATTCAGGAGATTCCAAGGTGTTTAGCATATATAAGAAAACAAATTATTTTATTCTTTACCATTTCTAACCTTTGTTAAATAGTAATTAGGATACAGTAGTCATTAGCAAATGATTTTTCACTTTCCAAACTTAGGCCTATTTTTAACGGTCTGATAAGACCTCTACTTTGCAACTCATTGTTAAATCGCATTGTTAATGAATATATCTAGTAGTGGGGGGCAGAAGAAACTTTCCTCTACCCTCTAGATTTTCTGGGCTGGTCTAACCAAATCCACCTGAGACAGATTAACATGAGCAAATAACCAAATGTAATTACATATGGGAACCCCGCATACATGAGAGGTCCAGAGACAGACTGGGGAAATGAGGTATATGTGATATTCTGAGCTAAGGATGATGTAAGGCACCAGGGGGCTTCAGAGGAGAGGGGGTTTATTGTAGGATGATAAGAGCAGATATACAGTAATTAGTAGTTTGTCCTGCCATATAGAGAAGTCAAAAAGGTTATCCTAATTCAATTCTTCTAGGTTGTTCGGAAGGCAATGTTTCTCTTGGGGTATCTGTTGCCTTTAACTCAAAATAATCCACATACCTCAGAGACACAACTTGGGTGACTCGTTCCGAACCACGACACAGTGATAAAAGGATTCCTTTCAGAATTATAGATGTCAGGCATTTCAGTACATCATAACTTCTCTGAACTAATAAGAATAGAACCAAACAGGAAATGGATAAGGACCCTAAATAATAAACTATTATTTTTAAATATCTCTTCCTTCCATACTTGCCATGGTCTAACAGCTTTTTTGATGGCGTGAAAATGCCTGTGTTACAGTCTGTAGTTTCTAAAATCCCTCAATTTTAATAATTGATGATCTACTTATGCCATGAGACCTGTTTCCTCATATTTTCCATGTTATTTAAATAAGATTGTTTATACAAAGGCTTTGTGTGCCTATAATCTGCTAAATATTGGCACCTCTGAAAAGACAGTTAATGGTCCCTGCCTTTGCAGAGCATTTCACCTGATGGAGAACTTTTCACTGCATTGTTTATAATTTTATACTTTGTCTTTCAGATAAACCCAAGCAATGGAGGGATTACAGCATTACATCAACCCAGCGCATGCCATTTCTCTCCTGAGCGCACTCAATGAGGAACGCCTCAAAGGACAGTTGTGTGATGTGCTTCTGATTGTTGGAGACCAGAAATTTCGAGCTCACAAAAATGTCTTGGCTGCTAGCAGTGAATATTTTCATAGTTTATTCACAAATAAGGAGAATGAGTTGCAAACTGTATTCCAGCTTGACTTTTGTGAACCAGATACTTTTGATAACGTTTTGAACTACATTTATTCCTCGTCTTTGTTTGTTGAGAAAGGCAGCCTTGCTGCTGTGCAAGAACTAGGCTACAGCCTCGGGATTTCCTTTCTGACTAACATCGTTTCTAAAACACCTCAAGCACCCTTTCCAATGTGTCCCAACAGAAAAAGAATATTCGTGGAACATGATGAAAACAGTTCTCAAAAGAGAAGTGTCATTGTCTGTCAAAGCAGGAACGAGGCACAAGGGAAAACCGTTAGTCAAAGTCCACCCGATATAAGCCATACTTCCCAGCCCTCCCCAAACATTGCAGTCAAGGCCAATGCCAGTAAGCCACAGGTTTCCAAACCAGTTGAACCACTTCACGATTTGTCATTGACTGAAAAGAGTTGGCCAAAAGATGGTTCTGTGGGATACACAAAGTCTCTTGAGTGTTCTGGATCTTTGGATGATACTAACAGAAGCAGCCTGGGGAAAAGGAATGCAGTCCTGTCTTCCGCACCGCTGCAAGACAGAGAGGCAGTGGATGACAAACCAGGTGGAAGCAGTCAGCTGCCCAAAGGAAAAGCTATAGAGCTGGCTCTGACAAGGCCCCGGCCACCTGTTCTGTCTCTTCGAAGCTCATCAGAGACTCCCTATCTATTGAAAGAAACTAACAGAGGAAATGGCCCGGGCGAGGACAGGAACTTGTTGTACTACTCAAAGTTGGGCTTGGTGATCCCGTCCAGTGGGTCTGCTTCTGCAAACCAAAGCATTGACAGAAGTGGCCCGCTTGTTAAGAGTCTCCTGCGACGGTCACTGTCGATGGACAGCCAGGTTCCTGTCTACTCACCCTCAATAGATTTGAAATCTTCCCAGGGGTCATCTGCAGTGCAAAGTGATGCACCAGGGAATGTGTTTTGTGCTTTATCTCAAAAGTCATCTTTAAAAGAGGGTAGTGAAAAACCAACCCCAGAAGATGGGACTCCAGCCGCACAGCCACACCGCCTCCGATCCTTCAGTGCTTCTCAGTCCACAGAGAGGGAGGGTGCACCCCCTGTTGCTGAGGTTCGAGTCAAGACGGAGCCCCGCAGCCCATCGGCAGATCCCTCCGACATCATTCGGGTCACTGTGGGAGATGCCGCCGCAGCAGCATCCAGCTCGAGAGACCTTCCTCTGAAAACAGAAGACGACCAAAAAGACATGAGCAGACTCCCAGCAAAAAGGAGGTTCCAGGCGGATCGAAGACTGCCCTTGAAGAAGTTAAAGGTGGACGAGCACGGCTCTCTGGTGTCAGAAGATAATCTCGAGGAAGGCTCAAGCCCCACACTCAAAGCAGATTTTCCAGATTCTGACTTGAGCAAAGATGAATTTGGTGAGTTGGAGGGAACAAGACCAAACAAAAAATTTAAATGCAAACATTGCCTTAAGATCTTTAGATCAACAGCAGGTCTTCACCGGCACATTAACATGTACCACAACCCAGAAAAGCCCTACGCTTGCGACATCTGTCACAAGCGGTTTCACACAAACTTCAAGGTGTGGACCCACTGTCAGACCCAGCACGGCATAGTGAAGAACCCGTCACCAGCCTCTAGTTCACATGCCGTTCTGGATGAAAAGTTCCAAAGAAAGCTGATTGACATAGTGAGAGAGAGAGAGATTAAGAAGGCCCTGATCATTAAGTTGAGGCGCAGCAAGCCCGGTTTTCAGGGGCAGAGTAGTTCCCCAGCTCAAGTCATCAAGAGGAACTTGAGGTCGCGAGCCAAAGGCGTGTACATTTGTACTTACTGTGGAAAGGCCTATCGCTTTCTCTCTCAGTTCAAACAGCACATAAAGATGCATCCTGGAGAGAAGCCTCTTGGAGGACACAAGGTCGCTAAGCCGAAAGCTCTCGCTCTTGACGGTCCGGTAGCGAGCAAGGAGGTTTTCCAGTGCCGCCTCTGTAACGCTAAGCTCTCTTCTCTCCTAGAGCAAGGCAGCCACGAGCGACTGTGCCGGAACGCCACCGTGTGCCCCTACTGCAGCCTTAGGTTCTTTTCGCCCGAGCTCAAGCACGAGCACGAGAGCAAGTGTGAGTACAAGAAGCTGACGTGCCTCGAGTGCATGCGCACCTTCAAGTCCTCCTTCAGCATCTGGCGGCACCAAGTCGAAGTCCACAATCAGAACACCATGGCTCCAGCCGAAAACTTCTCCTTACCCATCCAGGACCACAACGGTGAAGTCACCGGCTCCTCCAAGCCCCAGGCCCAGCCCGAGCCTCAGAAAGCAAACCACGTGGTCACACCAAAAGATGACAATGCGTTCAGTGACTGTTCAGAGCAAGTCAACTTCGATTCGGAAGACTCCTCCTGTCTTCCCGAAGACCTTAGCCTTTCGAAGCAACTGAAGATCCAAGTCAAAGAGGAGCCTGTGGAGGAAGCTGAGGAAGTGGCGCCTGAGGCCAGCACAGCTCCGAAAGAAGCAGCTTCCAGCAAGGACCCGGGCCTGTGGCCCTGTGAGAAATGCGGCAAGACGTTCACCTCGCACAAGCAACTGGAGCGGCACCAGGAGCTCTTGTGTTCCGTGAAACCATTCATCTGTCACGTTTGCAACAAAGCTTTTCGCACCAATTTCCGGCTCTGGAGTCACTTCCAGTCCCATATGTCTCAGGCTACAGAGGACTCAGCGCATAAAGACTCTGAAGTGTGCCCTGTTCCCACAAACTCTCCGTCGCCGCCACCTCTGCCCCCACCACCGCCGCTGCCCAAGATCCAGCCCCTGGAGCCTGACAGTCCAACGGGTCTGCCTGAAAATGCAGCTCCGGCCACGGAGAAACTGTTTGTGCCCCAAGAATCAGACACACTCTTTTACCATGCCCCGCCCCTTTCAGCGATCACATTTAAACGCCAGTTTATGTGTAAACTTTGCCATAGGACATTCAAGACCGCCTTCAGTCTTTGGAGTCACGAACAAACCCATAATTAAAAGACCTCCCCTTTTCCCTCTAACGAAATGGGAGCAGTCTCCAGATTTCAGCCTAAGTTGTGAAATGTGTCATGTAAAACAAAAATATATTTTACAAAAAAATAATAAAGGTTGGAAATTGTTATTCTTGAGTATAAGTTGGAGGTAAACTGACATTAATTACTAATGTCTACTCAACTTAGGAAAACACTTAAAAAATACTGTGCTTCTGGACCTTACAGTCACAGGACAAGACTTCATTGATGTTGAAATTGATTGGTCTTGGTTGTTTGCATGGTTCCTCATTCCACAGTGTCAGTATAATCTTTAATTTGAGGTGGTTTTGTTTTCTTACTGATGTGCAGCTAGTGAAATACTATTAAAGGATTTCTGCTTTTAATTATATCAGACACATAAGTTCTAGTTAAATCTCAGCCATGTTCTTAAGTCCAAAACTTACCTGGAAGAAGTGGAGTAGTTTGCAGTGTTGATTTAGGTCTTTAGAATACTCTAGCAATAAAGAAGTGATAAACCTCAACTTTAAGAAGTTATCCTGACACTTGATAAAAATATTTGGCATTTTGTGGTCATGTAGAATTTTTCATATGAAAATTGTGAGAAATTTAAATCAGCAATAGTAATACTTACATTTTTATAAAATAAAAACTTTCTCTTGGGTCACTTAGTGTAATTATTGCTGGAAGACTTGGGAGATGAAAATAAGATTTCTGGAAGGCCCCTAAGGTCAGTTTACAAAGGCTTCAGTGGGGACACGTGTTGTGATCAGATTGCTGCTGTGCTGTGTCCACATCACAGTGCAAGTTCAGTCCAGCACTGGAAGGACTTAGATGTTTGGTTTCCTCTGGCTTACGCTGCCACAAGTTGAAAATCTGAGTGTATTTGGGACAAAGATAACGTGGCACTAATTTTGAAATTAATATTAGTATAACAAAAAGGTCAGGACCTATATTTACATAGAGTCAGCCCAGAGGCTCTGAATCCTGAATTACCATTCACTTCCAGAGACCTGAAGCAAAGGAAGAAACAGCACACTGCAGTCTCCACATACTTTTCAAAAATGATATTGACAGTATACAGTTTCCTACCTCTTTGTCTTGTGATAAGTTCTGTTAGAATTGGTTGGAGTTTATCGTGGTAAAGCGTTCACGTAGTGAAACCGTTTTTGCTTCAAGTCACTGCTTAGCATTTCCTAAACGGCTGTTTAAGTACTATCAAGGGTCCAAAATTAGTTTTTGTGGTTTTTTTTTAACTTCTTTTTGGCCCATAGGGTTTGAGCTTTTTTGGTTTTCTATAGGTGTTATCCAAAGTTCTAGGGGCTGTTTCAAAAGGTACAATTTTTATTTTACTTGTGTGGGGTGGTCAGATATATAAAAGTAGAAAAATTGGGGAATCTACAAAATCCTTTTAAGGTAGTGATGTGGATTAAGACTACCAAGTTTATTAATTTTTTTACAAGCTATTCTTTCAAAAAAGAAAAATTAACTACTGTGACTAAGAAATAGTATGCTGAGTACTTAAATTTGTGCTGTAGCAGAAAAGAACTGTCCTTATCAACCTCATTACCCACATTCCAGACCAAAGGTAGGAAGGACAGTCTTTTTATTTGAAACACAAACATTTTTATAAAATACTAATTGACTTTGTACATTATGTAAATTACATATGAAATTTTGCGTTTTATTTTTTCACTAGCGGCCCGGTGCACGAAATTTGTGCACTTGAGGGGGGCTCCCTCAGGCCGGCCTGCACCCTCTTGCAGTCCAGGAGCCCTCGGGGGATGTCCAATTGACAGCTTAGGCCCGCTCCCCGTGAGCCTGGCTTCTGGCTGAACAGCACTCCCCCTGTGGGAGCGCACAGTTCTTTCCTCTGTTTGGTCGATTCGCATATTAGCCTTTTATTATATAGGATTTGAAAACTCAAAAGTCCCAAAATATTTGAGTGGTTACTTCCTGTTTCTGTTCTTAAATTTGATGGTGAAAGGAAAATAAAATTAAGTTACAATTAATGATTATTACAATCTCTATATTTTCTTAAAGAAGTCTGCATTTTAGAGACAAAACTAAAGCATACAATTTAATGTCAAACATTAGGATGAATTATTGTCCAGTGAGTTCATTCCCTGTATGATGTGGTATTTCTTAGTCAGAACACCTTGGTAGCTATCTCTTCAGTAGAAGACAGTTTCCCTCAGAGTAATCATTACTTATGGCTGTTTGAGTATCTAGTAAATCCACGACACACAGTATCTTGGCATTGTAAATTCAGTATCCTAGGACTTGAACCTTTATGCCACTTTTTTGAGGTTTTTTAAATAAAGTTGACCAGTAAGATATTTTTGATCTCAATACAGACGCTGCGAATCTGTTAGATTTTAAGAATTGCCAGTGGTTTGTCTTGTTAGTTCACATTTTTGTCTAGGCAAGGAACGTAAGACTTCAAATAAAATTTTGAACCAAAAACATTTATAATGCAGTTCTGGTTTTTCTATTACTTTTTATACTGTATCTTAAAAGCATTAGGCGGAAAGAGTTTATTTTGGTGGTCAAAAAATAAAATATGCTTCCACTCGTGTAACTATTTTAAGCGTTAAGAAGTAAAATAATGAAAGACAAGTTTATTGCTTTATTCAGTAAACAGGTTTTTAAAGAATATCTCAGTAGTCAAATACTTGGTGTAAGATGACTTGGTCTTTCATTGTTGCAACTCTTTAGCTAGCAAATATATTCTTGAAAAAGATTTTTCTGATTGTAATTAGTTTTGGAAGTGTAGAAAGTTCATTATTCCTTGTAAGTATTCAGGATGTCTGCTTTTTTATGCAGTTGTGGAAAGAATGTAAGATGTTTTAATATATTCTTTGTTAATCTGAGAACTTGTTATTGAATCATTTTCTTCATGTTGGGGAGGGAGGGAGGAACATCATAAAACACGTTTTTATTAAGGTAAGCAATGGAGGTAACATTAGTGCACATTTTTATAGTAATATTTCAAGAATAATAGAATATTTACCTTTAAAACTGGTTATGGTTCGTATGTATTTATAATTTTATCAAAATATTCAGCTAATGATTCAACAGTGATGTCATGTGCATTTGTGGGGAGATTAAGTGGTTCTTGGTTTTCTGATCTGGAACGAGTCGTAACAACCTTCTCTTTAAAAATATGCCCCAGCACTTAATTGGTTATACTCTAATCCACACACAGCACCCCCTGGTGCTGAGAACAGACACAGACAAGAATAAAACATGTCCTTCCCTGGAGGTAAGGGGTGTTTCATCCACAGGCCAACTGGCCACGGTGAGGGGGAGACAGGATTAACTCATCTAAAGTTGGCCTTGTTCCCTCTAAGTGTGTGTGTGTGTGTGTTCCATAATCTGAAACTGTGGGAAGTGAAATTATTTGCCTTTTCTTAACTACAAAAAATAATTAGATGTCATTCACAACATCTCTTTATAAATTGCACTAATTAATATTGGAACATTATATCAATTTCTGATGTATCAATATTTTGCAGTAATTGTGAAAAGCATTGATGCTAACACATTCTTTAATAAGTTCTTTAACACTGGCCTTTTTAAGTTTTAAAGATGGGTTTTTCCCTTGTGGCTTTAGCACTTTAAGAAGTTTGATGTTTGCCTAATTTTTGCCATGTTTGTTCAGTGCTACTCTGGCTACGGCATTTCCACGTGACTAGGAAGAAACCAAACAGTCAGCATTTAGATCTGGAGGAGAAAAATGAGTTAATGTAAGGCTTTTCAAAAATTCCTTATAGAGGCAGTCATTTGTGAACCAAAGTATTTTGCTGTAAATCTGTAAAATAATTGAATTCAGTGCTCTTTGGTCATTTGTTAGTGCTATCCAGATTTTCCAGTTACATACTTGGTTAATATTGATTTTCCAAAAGTGATCATTTCTTATTGACATTAATCCAAGACTGTTCAAAACTTTCATTGAATATATGCTTATTGTTGAAAGAAAAACAAATGTGGTTTTATAATTGTGTATTTTGTTGTTATATCCTTAGCAGAATAATTCATTGTTTGATTTTATTTAGGAATAAGCTTTTTTGGACTGAAAATTCATAGTCAAATAGGATTTCTGTGGAATGTTAATCCATTGCTTATTCATATCCAATTCTGTTGTCTGTTTACTTTGCTTAAATCTTGACTAAGAATGATGGGAGTCAATAAATTTGTACTGTATTTTGTTTGGAGTCTCAGTCTCATTGGTATGTTTTAGACTTTGATACTAATGATCGATAGCATTTAAATGTATGAAAGTGAAGATAAAACCCATCTACTTGGCTAATATGAATAACCAACTGCAAGTTGTAAGAGATTTAATTTTCCCTATCAGTTGCAAGTTACTTGTAGAATTGTTTGCACTAAAACTTCACTAATTTGGGCACCAGAAATATAACTAAAACCATATAAGCAGTAATCTGCCTGGCCACCTTTTTCTTTACTGTTCAAATTAGTATTTTTACAAAATGATTGTAGAGGTAAATGCATAAAAAAGTTCATATCAAGTGATAAACTGTCTTAATTTTATAAGGCTTTCATGTTGTAGCATCCTTTTTCCTTCTAAGGTGGCTTTTCCATTACACTGGCATATATTAACTTCATTATGGTATACTAGAGGCCCGGTGCATGGATTTGTGCACCGGTGGGGTCTCTTGGCCTGGCCTGCACCCTCTCGTAATCCGGGACCCCTTGCAGTGGTTCTCAACCTTCCTAATGCCGCGGCCCTTTAATACAGTTCCTCATGTTGTGGTGACCCCCAACCATAAAATTATTTTCATTGCTGCTTCATAACTGTAATTTTGCTACTGTTATGAATCGTAATGTAAATATCTGATATGCAGGATGTATTTTCATTGTTTGCAACCCACAGGTTGAGAACCGCTGCTTAGGGGATGTCAGACTGCTGGTTTTGGCCCCATCCCCGCAGGCCAGGCCAAGGGACTCCACTGGTGCACAAATCTGCACTGGGCCTCTGGTATACATATAAGATCTTTGGTTAATCTCTTCCCACCCACCCCCTCCTCCCTTCCCTCTGAGATTCATCAGTCTGTTCCATGTTTCCATGCCTATGCATTGAGCGTCTGCCCCCTGATGGTCAGTGCACATCATAGCTACCGGTTGATGGCTAGTGGCTGTGGAAATAGGGAAGGAGAGACCAGGTGGTCCTTACCGATTCCCTCCACCCAGGTTTGCACTTGCCTCTTCTGATGGCTTTGGTTTCCTTGCCTGATACCCTGAACTAGTCTTTCTGGGGAGCGTCTGGCTAAAAGTTTCTTGAACACACTTCACCAGGAATAAATGGCAAACTCTTTATTTGAACTCCTTTAGCCCTCTTATTCCATTTCCACCAAATAGATTTGTCTTAAAATTTTACATCTGCCCTTTCTTAGTAAATTACAAGCTTTTCCAAGTTTGAGATTGTTGCATTCCTGTCACATCCTCCTGGGTCTTGGGCCCACACGCAAGGCAATGTCCAGCGGGTGATATTTTTACCTAGCCAGAGAGGCTAAGTCTTGGCTCTGTTAATGTCAGCTCTTATGAACTATGGAGTTGAGTGGAAGGTATTCTTTGTACAAGGCTTATGTCTGGAGAAAAATGTCCCCCTGTTGTCACAGAAGCACTTTGAAAATAAAGCATGGTGCAGCCCTACTGTGCATGAATTCAGGTGTCATGCTCAGCCATGGGCCCCCATCCTTGGCAGTGGGGTCCTTTGGTTGGTTGGCTGACCTCATGGTAGTGCAAACCTGCATTTTGCCCAGCTGATTTGCCCTGGCGGCATCATTTCTTCTAGGAGTTACTTCCCAACCCCTACTCGCCCGTTCCCCACTCCAGGCTAAAGTAGTGCCCCCTATGTGTTCCCAGAAAGCCCTGGGATAGCCCAGTCACTCTGTGGCTTCCATTTTGCCAACCTGTGGCCTATCCAACAAGAACGGGACTGGCCCGTGGGCAGGGACTGTTGGTCAGCTTTGTGTTTCCATGGCTGGGCCTAGTAAGTGTTTGATAAATAAATGCAGCAAAGAACTCTTGTCAGAGGCGAGAGACAACCAGCCCATTTATTTTCCACTACTATCAGAAGGAAACTTGCTGAATACCTGCATATAACCTGGTACTCTCCAGATTTTCATTCAGCTACTCAGAGACCCAGAGAGTGTTTTAGTTTGTATATGGTTCCCAGTAAACTCGAGGAGGAATGGAAATGTTCAGGTGGCTGGTCTTAGATGGGCGAGTCCTTTGGATTGTAAATGCCATGCACTGGTTTTGGGTGTGTACGTGCTGTGTGAGTGTCGCTGGCACTGCTGAGGTGCCCATTATGTCACCCCAGTGTGGCAAGTTGTCTGGATAAACTCATCAGTAAACGTAAGAATAGTAATAGCTAATGACTAGTTATTACTGGTATCGTAGTAACTGCTAACAGTGAGTGTTCACTACCTGGGAAGCATTGTGCACGTGTGTGTTCCGTGTGTGTAAAGTAGTGACAGGCTGGTTTTCCTCCCATATTCTTATTTTTCCTCTCTCCCCACACTTCCCCATTTTCAGCCCTGTAATCTCTCGTCCCCTCAATCTGGAAAATTCCTCAGTTGTTTTTTTACTTTCATGGCCTCGGTAATTTTGAAGATTATGGACCAGTCACCTTATGAGCATCCCTTAATTGGAGTTAGTCTGCTGTTTCCACATGATTGGACCAACGTTATGCATTTTTGTACCAGAACATCACAGAGGCTGGGTTTTTGTATTTCAACCTAAGGGTGGCATACTACGCCTGGTTGTCCCTTATTGATCATTCCACTAAGATCATTTCTGCCAGATTTCTCCACTCGGCTTTTCGCCCTTTTTAGTTAATATTTTGTGGGGAGATATTTTTGAGACTACCTATTCCTCATCTCCATTTTACCCACGAATTTTAGCATCTGTTAATGTTTCTTGGCTGAATTATTTTTATAGTCGTTGCCAAATGGAGATTTTCTCATACCTCCATGCTTTCTTTATTGTGGACTCTTAACTGCAAAAAAAAAAAAAAAAAAAAAAAAAAAAAAAAGTTATTTATTCACCTATTTGAGTGTTGTGGATTCATGGATTCGTAACCCATTCTGTGGGTTATAATCAGTTGCCATCATTTTTAAAGTTTTTATTCTTAAACTAGAGGCCCAGTGCACAAAATTTGTGCACTTGGGGGAGGGAGGTACCTCAGGCAGTCCTGTGCCCTCTCCCAGTCCAGGAGCCCACAGGGAGCGGGCCTAAGCTGTCAGTCGGACATCCTTAGCGCTGCTGCGGAGGCGGGAGAGGCTCCCACCGCCGGCACTGCGCTTGCCAGCCTTGAGCCCTGCTTCTGGCTGAGAGCACTGACCACCAGGGAGCAGCTCCTGTGTTGAGTGTCTGCCCCCTGGTGGTCAGTGCGCACCATAGCAACTGGTCGGTTGTTTCACCGTTTGGTCGATTTGCATATTAGCCTTTTATTATATAGAGAATTGTCCTCGATTTAGCCAGCGAGAACTGACTTCTCTGACTTTTGACATGCCCTCCCCCCTTTTTTTAACCTGGTATTTCTTTGTTTTAAAAATATGGAACACTTCATGAATTTGCGTGTCATTCTTGCACAGGAGCCATGCTAATCTTCTCTGTATCACTCCAATGTTAGTATGTGTGCTGCCGAAGTGAGCTCACAAGTCCCCTTTATTCTTTGAGTATTTTCTTACTTTCTTACACAAGATATTCCAGACTCATCTTGTTCTTCCCCTGCCAGAGCCCTGAAATTAGCCATTTTGCCAAGGAACATGATTCCTTTTAGTGGAAAATACTGTTTGAAAATCAACATACTGGCATTAAGTGTGTTCCCAGTCCCTTCAGTGGGCAGGCATAGAGGGAAAGAATAGACACACAGACACACACACACACACCTGCATTTATTCCTGAACTAGAGGCCCAATGCACGAAATTCATGCATGGGTAGGGTCCCTAGGCCTGGCTGGTGATCAGGGCCAATCGGGGCTTCCGGTTGCTGGCTGGGGCCTTCATTCTGCACTGCCCCCTGGTGGCCAGCGCACATCATAGTGAGCAATCAAACTTCCGAGGGGACAATTTGCATATTAGGCTTTTATATATAGTGTCTAGACCAGGGGTGGGCAAACTTTTTGACTCGAGGGCCACAATGGGCTCTTAAACTGGACCGGAGGGCCGGAACAAAAGCATGGATGGAGTGTTTGTGTGAACTAATATAAATTCAAAGTAAACATCATTACATAAAAGGGTACGGTCTTTTTTTTTTTAGTTTTATTCATTTCAAACGGGCTTCAATTTCTTTTTTTTTCTCCTCATTCTGGGTAACATTTTCCTTCCTCTTGGCATATCCTGTAATTTTTTTCTTGGGTGGCAGACATTGTGAACTTTACCTTGTTGAGTGCTGGGTACTTCTGTATCCCTATACTAGTAAATGTTCTGGAGGGCCCTAGCCAGTTTGGCTCAGTGGATAGAGCATTGGCCCTTAAACTGAAGGGTCCCAGGTTTGATTCTAGTCAAGGGCATGTACCTTGGTTGCATGGATCCCCAGCCCTGGTCAGGGTGCCTACAGGAGCAACCAATTGATGTGTCTCTCTCACAACAATGTTTCTCTTTCTCTGTATCTCCCCTTCACTTCCACTCTCTAAAAATCAATGGAAATATATCCTCTGGTGATGATTAATAAAACAAAACAAAAAAGTTTTAAAAAAAGTTATGGAGGTTTGTTTGGGGGACATAATTAACTTAGTGAGAATCAATTCTATCGTTTTAGGTTTTGCTCCTAAACTGTGTTAAGTGGTATCAAAGTAGCATTTAATTGAGATCTATGGCTCCATCACTGAGACCACATTCCTACCCATTCCCCACGGATTATTTCAGGCACTATGTGAGCTCCTGGGATTGTTCCCTCTATTGCGATCAGCTGGTCCTTCTCCAGCCTCAGAGGTCACCTCACAAGCATATGTTGATCAGTAGCTGCTGGAGCAAGTTGAGTTCAGAGATCTATGAAGACCAGTTTCTGTTCACAAATCAGTGACCAAAGATAGATTATCGAATAGCATGTAATGTTTTATGTTATTTTTTGTCTGATTTCTCAGTAAAAGAAAAGAACATAAGGTAGAATATACCTTACTAGCCCTTTCATTAAAAATAAAATAATTTCCCAGAGTCATAGAAGCATGAACAGCCTTGAACC